GGATATAATATGTCCATTTGTTAGACAAAGCTATTTGTTTTTATTTCTAACAATTCTGGTCCATGCAACCGTACCCATGTCACTCGTAATGTAATACATTTTTCCTGTTTTTTTGTTTTACTGCTACTGTTATTATTATTTTTTTGGCATTATTACCCTTGTTATTATTACTATGATTATTTATTATTACTATTAGCTATTATTGTTATAATTTATTATCATTATTATTATTATCATTATTTGTATTATTATTCATAATAATAAGAAAGTAAAAATATATTAACTAACACTATCCATCTAATTTAAATATCTTACCACCACCAAAAAGACATACCAACATAAAGTTTGCATGTTTGTGCATTACCACCACTGCTTTCAAAGCAACCTTATATCAGTTAAAATATTTCTATTAAAGATGGTTAAAACATTTACCAAAAACGTGTATTAGATATTAAAAGTTACTGTTATTACTGTCGTTGTTTAGAATTCTTTATTTTGAATTAGCGTCGCTTGGGTAATTTTCTCCTAAAGGTTCAGTTATTACTATAATTATTATTTATTCATCATCAGCCCATGGACCCCAAACACAATTATTTCCGTTTTTGCAAGGGTCAGCTTCTTCCGGATAGTGATCCCCGTAAATTGGTTCGATTGATTCTTGGTTGTAGCGTGCAAGTTTCTCCAACATATAATATACTAATGGCTTGTGTTTTGTAGCGAGATTATTACGTTCTTCAGGATCCTCCTTGACGTCGTACAGTCGAACAATGTCACCCTTGTCACCTTCTTCTGTAGTATAGTTGGTATCTGGGGGTGCGTACCACCCAGCTTCACCTATAATAAAAAATAAATAAATAAAAATAATGATGTGATGTTGATACTGATAATGATGATGATAATAATGATAATGATGATGTTAAAAACAATGGCGATTGCAAAGACGATGACGGCGACAACAAAAAAAACAATGGCAGTTAAGATGACGATAACGATAACAATTGATAATAATACAAATTATCATCATTTTTTAATAAATACTATTATTATTATTATCATCATCATCATTATCGTCATCATTATCAATATCATCATCATTAATTATCAATAATTTTATTATTATTTTTTCTTACCGTCATCCCCTGTAAGCAGTTTCCAGTTTCCAAGACGGATGGCAGCCTTCATTCTGACGTTAAAAGGGCTGTCTGTCCAATTTTCACCTCCCTCAGATAATACTACAAGTGGGTCAATGTTATGTAAAAGTTCGGTACGACTGGAACGACTTCCATTCCTACACAAAGTCAACATATGGTTATACATAGAAAAATAATTGTGTATACAGTATTTATTTATATATGATAATTAGCTAATGCATAGTTTTTACCTTATTATCCTTACTATTTTTATTACTATTACTATTAATAAGAGTTTGTTTTAACTTATATACTAATTTGTTTTTATAGGATGTTGAACCCGCTGGGCATGTAGTTGCATCTGTTTTAACCTCCTTTTATTTGAAATTATATATTATATTTGTTTTCATTGTAAATGTTAACGAAAAATATTGTTATTGGGGATAATAAAGAAGAAGAGAGTTAAAACGTGTATGCATAAATCAAATGACACAGTATTAAATAATTTAATGTAACTAGAAACCCAAAATATCAGGCGATTAAATTAATAATATAAAATTAAATGTAAAAACTCCAAGTGTGTTTAATATTCTCAGGAGGCACTTGGACCGTGTACATAAATACAAAAACCATATGTAATATGACAATAAAAAGATGCAAAAATAATTAAAACTATTATACTTTAAACGTTGCAGCATATTGTATATCTAAGCTAAAATATGAATAGTTGAAATCCATGCTCTGGAAGTTCGCAGTAGGGCTAACAGCTGAGATATCGGTATTATTACTAAAATTGATTTGCTGCGTAGCACCGTAATAGTAATAGGCCTAAACAAATAATAAATATATATTCATTAAAAAAATGCAGATACTTTTATATTGCATACCTTATTGTATCCCATTGGTTTATACCATCTAGTGGCAGTGTCCCTTGCGTGGTTGATTCGGCAATGCCTTCCACCAACGTCGGTAACCAATCGCTGATGTGAATCAGTTCCTTATTAACGGTTCCTTTAACGTGGTCGGAGAGGAGTGGACTATGCACAAAGCCGATAGCACGGGTGCCGCCCTCAAACAAGGATCCTTTGTATCCACGAAGAGGCCAGTTGTATGAACCATCCCAAACTGGACCACCATTATCTACAAATTATCCGAAACGATATTAAGAAATAAGCGATTACTCACCCGTTTTTAATTCTTAGTTAAGGTATTACTCATTCCATGGTTGCTACATATTGCAGTAAAAAAAAGTTAGAGGGGTAAAAAGAAAGAATAAAATGAGTTAAGAGAAATATTTTTGTTTAAAAAAATAGGTTAAAAATGTTTTCGGGCAAATTCTGAATAAATATTAATTTAAATTAGATAATACCTTAAAGGCCATAACGTCTATGGGATTCGCACATATCTATATCACATAAATCCATGACGGCTCTTACACCCATGCAAAAACCACCCATGATTTTGGCAACTTTATAAGTAAATCTCGATAACATGTTTAATATACAAAACAGTTCCATCCATCTATTATGTTGCCTCTCGGTCTTTGTAATCGAGAAATTATTTTTAAAATATGTGTGAGAATGCAAATTCTTACTACGTCTCTGACACCATAGGCTATTAACAGTTTGTTCACCGCATTCTCGGAGAGTTGCCCACTCTTCCGTCTCTTCTCCTCCTGCTATCATACCCCTTTATTAATACTCTTTCTTAATACGCCGATGCAAACATGTGCTGATTTGTCTAATACAAAATTCGTATTGTTCATTATTTCTACCGGAGAGCAACAAGAAGAAATGAGATTTTTTCCGGGATCTTCTACACATTTAAAATAAGCCTAACTTAAAACAAATACTGTGCAATGTAGACCTACCGCTTGAATATATGATAATTGTATTATCATACATTCCATTAGCTTTGAGTGCCTCTGTCACGTTACCGACGCCCTCGTCTAGGCAGGCCATCATACCGGCATACGACCTACGTTGCTCATCCTTAATAATATCACGATAAGGCTCTGAGTAGTGTTCGGGAACCTCAAGTGGAGCGTGGGGGGCTTGGTTAGATAACCACATAAACATTGGCTTAAATTAAAATATAGAACATACTTTAAGAATAGTAAAGTTGGAAACAAAAGGAAAAATCACCATGGAAGGGTTTTTTATTATATAAGATTTAGAAGAAAGAAAAAAAAAACATATATTTTGATTTCAACATGAATATTGTAAAGGATTGTTAATGTCAAAGTTACTAAATGATTATTGTAATCATAATTTTTACTGATTATGAACCTACAACAAATCCATTCATTGTAAGACCATCCATAAACTTATCTACTTTGTCAACATAAAAAAAAATCTATCAGTAATTCTACTTGAGAAATAAAGGAAGACAAAGAGGATTTGAAGGCAAACATCTTACCCACCAATCTACATGGCCACTCCATACCCATTTTCCTTCTACATTACTTCCACTCTGAAATAAACTTTCACAAGAACTTACTTTATCTGGGTCTTTGTTGTTTATGAGATCGACTGCTTCCTCGTTATAGAGGTTTGTCGGATACGTTCCGTTGTATTGCCATTGAGGTTCAAAATTACGACGAAAATCTAATTGTCCCTTGGGGGTATCGTGAGAGAAGTAATATTCTGCTCCCTGCAAGAAACCTGAAAATATTTATATAATTCCAGATTGATGTTAAGAATAAATTATCCATGATTGCAGAAGAAATGTAATTGCTGCAAGTCTACTTGTCTGGGTAACGCTTTATATACTTAATCCCAAGATCCCAAGTCTTCCTTTTGATACCTAAATACGTGTAATTATGATCCATATTTCTATGATAGCCTGCTTTGTATATTTTATGATAGGCCTATTTTTCGTCAATGCATAAGAGGAATTTACGATTTTTGTGATGAAAAGTGAACAATATAAAGTATAGTAAGGCCAAATAAAAATATGTTGTGTTGCCCTCCGCGACCGACCAATATCTTCCAAAAAATCGGGTTGGTATTTTTTTTTTTTTTTTTTTTTTTTTGAAATTTTTTTTTTTTTTTTTTTGAAATTTTGTTCAAGCATTAATTTTGAAAACCGAGTGCGACGACGATATATGCACACAACATAGGATCTCTCGCGCTGAGCTGTCAAGCCACGGCCAAATCTAGGCCTAACCTATTCTTTACTACTGTACAACTAGTGGTTGTTTGAATCAAAAATCGTTTTCATTGCCTTCGGTATATGCCTATTGGGCAATAAATAAAAACAGTCTTAGGTCCAGACATCGCTTTAAAAACCTGGTACATAGCTAGATATTTTAAGATCCGTTACGGTTTTAGGCAACCATAAACGAAATATTTTTTATCTTTTTCTTTCTCGAAGTTTACTTCAATTGTATTACATAGAGGGCGCTTGTTTGGACATTTTTTCATAGCCACAGTATTATGGTTTTGCTCGAGCTGCCCGTCTTGATCATGTGGATCGGCTACACATATTATTTTACATTTCGATTAGAAGCTAAATAAATCTTACTTTTAAACTGATTTATTTTTGTTAAATTTATTTCAACATATACTTGGATAGCATTTACTCTGTCAATACTTTGAATATTTTTTGTTTGGCAAGCTTTTCATTTTTCTATTGTGGTGCCTACGAGCTACCAACACTGGCCTTAGACCTACGGTTTTCATAATAGGAGCTGCAGTTTCAGGCCTGTCCTTTTTCACGTATTACTAAAAAGAAAAAATTCCGACCGACGACCTTGATTTTTCTTTTTTCCATTTAGGGGCAACACACCAATTTTTTTTTGGCCTAATATTGATTATTATTGAATTATTTAATCGCTTTCAATAGAATTATTTATCGGCTCTTTGTAACATACGGTATGTTTCTTTATTTGTTGTTTAACCCAAATACGATGACATCGGTTTTGCCAATGTGAAATATACAGTATATAGACATTAGGCCTACATATAAACTTAATTACGTAATAATTACCAAAGAATGTATCAAATCCTCTGTTATTTGGCAGGCACTCTTCGCGGTAGAGCCCGAGATGCCATTTGCCAATCAAATGGGTGGAGTAACCAGCTTCTTGCATCTTTTGTGCTAGCGTCGTTTCATTCAGAGGTAAGCAGGCCTTCTGATCTTGATCTAAAACGCCATGTTGCATTCCCATTCGGATCTATTTTCAAACAATATACACATGTAAGTTAAATTTATACTTTTAAAAGTTCATAAATGATTGTATCTTTTTAATGAGACAAAATTTGTGGTATTTTTTGTTTTTATTTTTGGAAAATAAATAGTTTACCGAAACTGATTGGCTATGGTATCTTTTTGCGCTGTTAGCTGGCTTGCTCTGTAAAGCATGGTTTTAAAAAGTCGCTACATTATGGTTACTTTGAATATTTAAAACTGGAAGGAAAAGGTGGAAAAAGGATGGTTATCACCATTTCCCGCAGTTTAAGTATTAAAAAACCTGTATCACATTAACCGTTCCCTAGTTTTTCGTCAAAAAAAACCTTCTTGTGTTTTTAAATAATCAATTGTAACCTACAACATGTCATTTTCCCGCAAGAATCTGGTATTTAACTTCGATATGTGTTGGTAACCAGTGATCACTTATACCGTAGTTCGTGTACAAAATGTACACTAAGTCTACTAATAGGCCTAGGATCTAGTGGAAGCAATCTTTGACTAGAAATTCCAAGGTTTAGGCTAACATTCAGTGGTTGGTGTGATCACAATATCGAGCGTTTCAATAAAACGGAGAACTTTGCTGTTTGATGCAGCGTTTGTCATAGCTCTTAACATCGTGGTTGAGAGTGCCACACGCTGACCATTCAATCATCACAACTTGCACTGTTAATGGGTCGTGAAGTAGTTCACAATATGTTTCAGCATTAGGGTGAGTATGTCATGGCTTACAACTGAAAATATATTTATAAGATTGCGGCTGCTCATCATCATGATGTTAACATCATGTCAAAATACTTCCAAGGTATACAACAAACTAATTAATAGGTAATATCGCTTCTGGAAATTGTTGAAACAAGGAGTAACGTGCCGCATAGAAGCAGCAACCGATATGTTTTAAAAACTGTCCATATACGGCTATGCCAATCAATAATGATTGGCGATTGCAGATTATTACCTACGTGACATTCTTGTATTTACGTACTTGTTAATATATTTTTCAACATATTTAACCAGGGTGACATAATCATTTAATGCAACATTTTACAATGCGGTCTTGAAAATGAAAAAAAAAACGAATTAAAATCTATAGAAAGAACAGATATTTTTTAATAGTATCACTGCAACTTGATAAATTATTTAATCATTTAAATTAAGATAGGCCTAATGATAATTTATTTTTAATGCAGTCGAATCTAGCTGTTAATAATTAAAATTGATAATATGAGTTATTTAACTAAATTAATTAGAATTTAAATACAAATACAAGAAAATAATCTTAATGTTGTATTTATATTTATAGGCCTATTCTATTAGTTGTCCTCATCTTACCCCATATCGGCCTGTCATGAATTGAGCCCTCGACGGTGTACAATAAACTTGAACGTAGTAATTTTCTAACTTTACACCTTCTTCAGCCAAGCTATCCAAGTTTGGAGTTTTGAAAATCGAACCATGGTAGCCTATGTCTCTATAGCCCTGGTCATCGCCCGTTATAAAAATAATATTGGGCTGTGAAGAGGCTTGAGTGGGACTGATGCTGCTTGTGCAAATTATGGCCGTTAGGCCTAATAGAAGCAAAGAATTTGCCATATTAGCTGACAACAAACTTTCTATTAAATACATTAATGATCAGTAATGCACTTGCCGAGTTATATATATAGGCCTATGTGTATAATCTGCTCATTGTGATTCAATTTTTAAAGTATTGACAATGTGTTCTTTTGTGATCAGCACCTGCGTGTATAAAACGTGGGTCGACCGTTCCCATGGACCCAAGACACCCATTACCATTTTTGCAAATGTCAGCTTAATAATTTGGAAATGGCATGAACGTTTCATGTGATTTACTATTTTCGATCAACTGTTACAATTTTAATTATGAGTCATTAATTATTCAACATATTCAAATTAATAATAATAAAATTAATGTCATCTGTCTTTTAATACATACTGTTTCATTGAGATACTAACAGCACTGTGTTGGTTTTACAAAAGCTGTGCACTTTATGGGAAAACAGCAACATGCTGCATGCATTGTTTTGAATAGTACAGGGCTAGATACAGACGTGTCTATAACATGGTGTTTCATTCTATGTGGTCTCCAGATAGATTTGATTTTCGGGTTTATTTGCATTGAAGATATCCAAACAGAGGCTACATTGCACTACATTATGTCTGTTTGCTATTTTCGATCAACTGTTACAATCCTAATTATGAGTCATTAATTATTTAACATATTCAAATTAATAATAATAAAATTAATGTCATCTATCTTTTAATACATACTGTTTCATTGAGGTACTAACAGCACTGTGTTGGTTTTACAAAAGCTGTGCACTTTATGGGAAAACAGCAACATGCTGCATGCATTGTTTTGAATAGTACAGGGCTAGATACAGACGTGTCTATAACATGGTGTTTCATTCTATGTGGTCTCCAGATAGATTTGATTTTCGGGTTTATTTGCATTGAAGATATCCAAACAGAGGCTACATTGCACTACATTATGTCTGTTTTTTCGTATTCTTGCTACTAGTTTATGTGTATGTCATTTCGTCGTTACATATCAAGTAGGCCTATGAAAAAAATCATTAACAGACATAATAAAAATGTATTAATAATAATAATAATAATAATAATAATAATAATAATAATAATAATAATAATAATAATAATAATAATAATAATAATAATAATAATAATAATAGATGGATTTATATAGCGCAAATAAACGAGGTCTCTATGCGCTAGACAATAATGAAGTCAAGAACACAAAGAAAAAAGCCGGGAAAAAAAACTAAAAACACCAAGCTAGCACCCAAACCGAAGTATGGGGTTACACCATCACCGCCAACCGGAGATCTGTGTTTATGTACTCCTGTTAGCATCGGTTAAGTCTTGATCTTTTCTGGGATCAGGTGCCTCCTAACCTGGAACAAACAACACTAGCTAGCAAGGTGAAACAGAGAAAAAGAAAAAAAAAGAAGAAAACAGTGGCTATAAAGAGGCAAATAAAAAGGTTTTGAGTCGCTTTTTAAAGATGTCAATTGACGCTGATTCACGGACTTCAACGGGTAGTGCATTCCACATTTTTGGAGCCGCAACACGAAATGATCTCTCACCATATGGTTTCGAACGGCACCCAGGAACAAACAAAGTAGATGAACTTGTAGTTGAACTGAGTGCTCGGGAACAAGTGGATGAGCGTAGTCTGAGAGGATTTTGCATGTACGTGGGTGATAGGTTATGGAGCGATTTGTACACAAGAAGAAGAATTTCGAAGTTGATATGCTGTCGAACTGGAAGCCAATGTAGGTCTTTGAGTATTGGCGTGATGTTCTGTGACTTTGGGGTGAGCTTAATTAGACGTGCGGCCGAGTTATGATGTAGTTGTAATTTTTTTATAAGAGTATCTGGAAGCCCAAATAGGATACCATTGCAATAGTCAAGTCTTTAAGTTATAAGAGCATGAACAGGTTTTTTAGTTGCGTTATACATTTCTGTTAAAGGAGTGTCTTTAACAGTGATTCAGTTTGCTTTTGACAATCCTTGACACTTGACAATTTCATGTTCATTTTTTTGTCTTTGTATACTGTTGATATATTTAAATGTTTGATTTTTATTTAGTTGTTTAATTTCACTACTGACAAACAAATTCGCTATTAAATCAAGGAAGGTTGTAAGTTATATCTTTCTCTAGGTTTAATGCTCAGTCAGTATGTAAAAAAAAAACTTAAAATATTCAAAATTCTACACTGTCGTTTATTTAGGCATGCTTTTGTCTGTATACATATCGCTTTTTTCTTTTATTGTACATAATAAATGCTTATTAACCACCTTCCAACTCTTAAAGAGTTCATTGCATGAAGTAATAACCAAGACCCCTCCACAGAAAAACGTCTCATACAGTATTTATATGAATATATTTTTTAATGGCGGGAGGTACTAATGGTTACTTTCATTTGTCTTGGTGATCAAAATATACAATTCCATTCAATATGCTATTCTTAGCCTTAATATGATAGGCCTATATACTATAGTTATAGTCATAAGAATACTACATTGGGAAGTATTCAGTATTGTAGGATTATGGATTGTGCTGAACTAAAAACTTAGATCTTGGCTGGTCTAGCATTGCACAAAGTACGATTTGAAGCTTAAAATCACAGCTTAATAATATATATAAATATTACATAAAATTCAGTTATATAATACTGCCGTGATTCGGAAAAACGCATTATATCCATTTTTGAAAATTTTGAGATTTTTTGCTTAGGGGCATCCTATGGATGTAATCTATCATGTGAATTGATCATATACCCAAACAAATGTTTATAAATATGAAATTAATATGAGAGTTACGCATTATATCCACCAAGCATTGAAGTGAGCAATCAACCAATCACAGAAGACAATGACGCATATTTAATTAGTTCCCTAGCTTGTGGAAGGGCATAATAGGGTATAATATCAAGTTTGTTTTTGATCTGAGTACAATTAATAAAAGAAAAATGCATTGTTCTTCAATTTTAGTCTGTAATATTAATAATTATTACGGTATTGTAACTAAGACCATTTAACAAACAAAATAAAATACATACATATCAAACTTAAAAATGTTTTACTTAGACTTTCCAGTTAAGCCAATGCTTGAAATTTAGATGTAATACCTATGCTAAATATACATTTAAAATATTTAGCTATATTTAAATGAGTACACTTCCTTATAATTTAAGGAAACAAATTTATAAATGGGCCTGAAGAAGTGTGTTTAGAAGTTGAATGTTTATTTTTTGTTTATTAAATTGAAAGGCGGGTATTCTTCATAGTGAATTTAAATAAACTGATTATTTATGTTGTAAAAACTTACTAACAGTGTCGTTGCTTGTTCTTTCTGTATTGATTAATGATAGTATTTAATTTAAATTTTACATGTACCATACCATATTTTAGAGGAAATACAACATTTACTATAATCAGATCAGACACATTTTGTAAATATTTTATGAGAGTGAATGCGATAATGTTGCTAAATAATATAAACAAAAATCCTTAAGAAACTTTCTATTTTGTTTTGTTTTAAGTTATTTAAACATAATGGAATTTAAACCTCTAAAGCCCTGATGAAAATTCACTTTAATTTCTTATTTTTCATTAGTCCTTAAGTAAAGAATACCGTAATGCATGCATTCTGCTGACAAAACTGGATATAATGCATAAATACACACTTTTTTTATAAATGATATTCTCAAGTATTACTTAGCCAACAAAATCTAACCATAATTTACAGAAATTTACAGTACAACTTCAGTATCCAATATTTTGATTTAATACCTCATACAAATGACGTCATTACCCCGTAGTAACCATGCGCAAAGGGTGGGTATAGGCCTAAACTATATTTACTATATTTTGTAGCAATAATTGTAAAATATTTTACGTGAAATAAAGAATCATCTGAAATACGACACCGATGGGTTTTAACATAGGCTAATACAGAAATAATATCGGAACTGAAAACCACCTTTGTACAATTATTTAAAAAAAAAAAGAATCAAGGAAAATCAGACTTAAAGTTGATGTCGGTTAAGTAAAAAAAACTGGAAGCAATACTAAAGACACGTAAGATAAATTTAATAAAATGAGTTTGAATAATAGCGCTTCGGGTAAATATAAAGTAGCGCTAAAATTTCGTTTGGGTTAAAGCAAATCATGAACTTTTCTGCCAATCACATTTTCACACTCCTAATACAGGCTTCGAAAACCATCTTAGTATTATCATATTTTCTTGGTTTAAAACTGTGTGCTGTCGGCACATGTGTGATATTCTAAACCATGTTGCCAATTGACGTCACAATCTTAAGTGTGAATTAGTTTAGTTATAATTCATGGGCAAATTTCTTCCGGCGAAAAAGACAAGACTTCTAAAATAACATCACAGAATGTCGAGATTCGTTTGCAGAGCTTAGCAGTTTCGTATGTTAAATCTTCTGGTTCCATTTGTCGAATTTCTGAGTTGACATAAGTGAAAACATTCTGGCGCGGTAAGCAATATGCGGGTAAGCATTGGTGTGTTGCGCATGACTTCAGGTATCGATACATTTTTTTAATAAGTTCTATATGTGTTATTTCTTCGGAAGAAACTTTTGATTCTTTTAACTCTTCCATGACGTAAAATAGACAATTTTTCATCATGTAACTTGAAATAACATCCTTAGCCGTCCGTATATCTCCACCTTCCCATTCCGTATCATGTAATTCACTACAATCTAAGCCTATTACCTCTGCATTGGAATGATCTTCATTATTTGCATCAGCAGGTAAGCCGCAACCTGCTTGCTTTAAGTCATCAACTACCTGTTTTTCCTCAAAAACACCCCCTTTCAAACTTGCGGTGTCATCATTATTAGAAACACTTATTTTGCTGCTAATATCGTTTTGAACATTTTTTAGGAAACTCTTCGTCGTCGTTCCATCGTTTGCATTCACATTTGGTGAGTTTATTTTACTTTTTACATGATGTTTTGAATCACTTTTCTGCTCAGTGTTGTTTTCTGTTTTACAAATTGTCGCTACATTGCTATCTGAAGTTTCACAGTCACTATACGAGTGAATATGAGTATGCTTTGTTTTTGTTTCATCTGTTTCTTTTACTCCGTCCTTAGGAAAGTAAATTTCTTGTACTTGTAAATTATCGTCTAATTTGACAAGCCATGAATCTGATGTTTTTTTATAAGAACAGCCTGGTTTCAAATCCTCCTTACCACTTTCTCCGCAGTACAGTACAAAGTTGTGAGAGGGGTCTGATATAATATGAGATCCGTGAATCTCCTCGGTTTCATTTGATAAAGACTCTTGGGATTGCGAATCATCCTCGGTTGTCCAACTATCCGTGTCGTCAAATTGTACTAATGGGCTGAAAAAGTTAAGTAGCTTTGCTGCGGCATATACTTCACGGAAAATAGCAGGGGAAGTATGAAAGAAGTGTATTTCAAGAGGAGCGCAGGAAATGCGGACGTAATTTTCTTTGTTATGTTCCTCAGGTGGGTGGAATAGGGCAAAGTAACCAGCATTCTGATCGTTATGCAAAGACCATGGGTGTTTTTTTGCTTTTACTTCCTGAGGAATCCAGCTTTTTAGATATACTGCAGGAACAATGTCAATACTAACAATAACGTGCTTATACACCTGTCCAAACCATTCTACCTGAATGTTAAGAATTGGTTTATGTCCCTGGATTTGTACAAGTCCGTCAAAATAAATGTTATCAAAATCCCAGAACTCTGCTCTGTTTACAACATTGATGATACAGTCGTAAAATTTATTACGCACAATATTAGAGCATATCAAGCTATGTCCACTAAGAAAAGATGAGATGCCATGTGTATCTGTGTCTGTTAGATTTAGCAGTGCAAACCCAGTACCACAAAGGTCTGATGGTTGCATTATATTGCATTTGTCAGAAAAGAAATCTAAGCAAAAAACAAAATCAAATTCAGAAGGATCACAAACTTTAGTTGATTCTGCGGAACTTCCAGTTGGAAATAGAGTACTTTTGAAACGATAGTCCTCTTTCTCAAGCAAATGAGCTAACTTCGACATCATTTCTAAGATACTTGTCTTGACATCTGAAGCTCCTGGTCTTTTTTCGATGATCCCAAAAGCCGGTGAATTTATTATCTGGTCTATCATTACCGGTGGGTGTTTATCTATGCCCAATTTTGTTAATCCTTTGTGCAAATTGGTGACATCGCCTTCGTGAACAACTATGTTTTTTAGTTTAGTTAAGTCATCAACGGTTCTTAATAAATGTACCTCAGTTTTATCATTACATTCTTCTAGTCTTTGAGCGATCTCAAAATTACCTACAAACACTGCAACATCATACGCAGTAAAACCTTTGTTATCAGCAATATGTGGATTGATTCCATGCGCCATCAACATGTCTACAGCACTGGTAATACCATACCACGCAGCGTAATGAAGAAGAGAAGATCCAAAGATATCAACCGTGTTAACGTCCGTACCAAGTGAAAAGAACTTAGCTGCCAAAGGTTTGAAATTTGAAAAATGGGGACTCAGATGAATAGCACAGCCAGAGGGAAGATCTTCAGGAGTGTACATTGTATACAGAGCAACTGGGAGTCGACCAAACTTATCCTTGATGTCTAATCGCGCGCCATATTCACAAAGGAGGTCAAATGACCGAGTGGTCTTAACGCGGAAGAGAGCTGTTTGTCCAAAGATATCATGTGCATTGACATTTGCTCCAGCTATTAATAATTTCTCGACTATCTCATCCCGCTTCCTTACAACTGCATTCATCAGTGCTGTTATACCTAGACTACTATACGTCGTGACGTCTGCACCGGAGCTTATCATTTGATCAACTGTTTCAGTAGTGTAGTTTGTATTATCAACGTATGCCTGAAAAGCAGAATACCCATTAGCATTCCTTCTATTAAGTATATTTTTTATATATTCAGGATCACGTTTTACAATGTTGCCACATAGAAATTCTCGAATAAATATCTCTCTCTCTTCCAAGATATCTTCGTAATCTTCCCTTTCCTCAATGTAGTCCGACACGTTCGATAGAAACTCGTGAAACACGGATGATCCATACTCGTCTTGCAGATCAAGTCTTGCATCTGGGGAATGTTTTAACACATATGTAAATACACGAGGTACATATCTGCAATAATTACGAAACACATAATGCAATGGGGTTTCCCCTAAGTTGTCTCTAGAAGTGACATCGACGTCTTTGTCCAACAGCATCTGAATACCCCTTGTGAATTCTTTAAAGTTTTCAAATGGAGCCTTATCAAAGATGCAATGAAGTGCGTTTCTTCCTGTCCGATCTTTCTGATTTATATGAATATTCGAAGAAGTCAATACAATTTCAAGCCTGTCTAAATAATTAAGATCAGCAGCAATATGAAGTGCTGACCTCCCGGTTGCGTCTTTAGTTGTGACATTGAACCCAGAAGTAATCAACGTCCGAAGGATTTCTAAATCAACATCTGTATTTGAAACAGCCTGAAGAACGGGAGATATTCGTGAAAGCGCACTGGGTTTATCGAAGAGAGATTTCTGTTCTGCTAGTAACCGCACTATTGATATATTATTGCTAGCAATTGCAATATGCAACGGAGATAACTCAACAGTATTGGAAATCAGCGACAGGTTTTCAGGAACATTTTGTAAGAGGTGATTGACTTGTTCGAAGTCATCAACTTTTACACACTCTATCATTCGTTGAATCCAGTCCATAGCAGACCTGATACAGAAAACAAACAAAAAAATATAACGCATAACATTATATCAAAACAAAACATGATGGGAGTAATTATTATCAAACAAATTGGATACTATTTGTATAATCACTATTTTTTAGCCTATTATCTAAATTGTTTTTTAAAATACAGGTTTTGTACAGACGTAGGTTGATTTAATATGCTGATTCATTAATATCTCATTAATCAAACTATCCTAAATAGGCCTATTAAAGTGTTAATAATTCATTATCAAAATATTATTCGAGAACTGTTATTACCGGTACAGTATTATTATTATTATTATTATTATTATTATTATTATTATTATTATTATCATTGTTGATTTAATATGTTGATTCATTATTATCTCATCAATCAAACTATCGTAAATAAGCCTCCTATTAAAGTATTATTAATTTATTAATAAAGTATTATTCGAGCACTGTTATTATTACTGGTTAAACTGCAGTTTTTTGGCACTGCGGCAGTGACGATAGAAAACAGCCGCTTTTTCGCACTGCAGCAATAATGCCGATAGAAAATAACACATTTTCCCACTGTGGCAGTGCCGATAGAAAACAACAACTTTTTTACACTGCGGCAATGCCGATAGAAAACAGCAGCTTTTTCGCACTGCGGCAGTTTCGAGAGAAAACAGCAACTTTCTTCGCACTGCGGCAGTGCCGATAGCCTCAGCCGTATTCTATTTAGCAGGATTATGTGTATGCGCCCTCACACATGGGGAAATTTCAATAAAATTACCCTCAGCTCCGAGCGAAGTTGCTAAATACAACGGGTTCAGTCGAGGGGCGTGGCTTCGTATCTTGACGTCATGCATAATTTCAGCTATAGTTCGTCCTCGACATAGAGTAGGCCCTGTCTTTTATCACACAGCATAGCAAAACACAGAAACTTTATGGTACAACCAATGTAAGAAAAAAAGTTGTCCCTGGGTAATTTTCTTTCCAAAATTAGGATCCCTGGAACATTATCAATTTATGGGGTCTACACAGAGTGAAATATTACATAGGTCTAGTTAGTCTTATTTTAGCGGTAGGGATTAGGCCGTAATCACAGAAAGAAATGAAAACAATTTAATGGCCTATACTACTAGTACCGTACTACAATACTGTACTCTGTGGGTTTTCCAACCTAATCCCATGAAAAAATTATCTTACTGGAAGAGAAAATGGGCTTAATAAATTAAAATTACAACTTCTATTACAACATAACTGCTGAAGTTAAGACTTGATACTTTTTAATGTTTCACAAAATTGCCGGCTATATTACACAAAAAGAGAAGGGGAACAGAAGCTGTCTCTTATACACATCTAGATGTGTATAAGAGACAGGGCTTAGAGGTGCCTAGACCGACACGATCGTCCATACTTTGTGGTCAATCGTCTGGAAATGGACTCGCTGTCTCTTGGGCCCCCGATCGTTCGTCACCCGATCGTAGCAGCAGCACAAACCTATACAAAAACTAAACCTGAGCCCGCCTCGCTAACGTCACATTGGTGACACAGTGTATGTGCGAATGCGATGTTTTTAGGTAGACGGTATAATTTATACATGACGTGTCACAATACAATACAAGCCACGCCCCCTCGGCTGAACCCGTTGTATTTAGCAACTACCCCCATGAAACCGTGAACGTAAAACATTTCTGTTGTCAAGTGTCTTCATATAAGCTTATTCATTCATCCTTTAGAAACACTGAATAGCGCCTATGAACTAAATATTGATTCCAATTTTATTGAAGCTATGCAATTTATTTTTAATTAATACATGCAACGAATTATGTCATGGAAGTTGTTTTCCTCAGTTGCTGATCCTGGAATATTAACATTAACACCAACCTAATTTTAAAATAAATGCTGTGATGTCCTCTCTCCTCTGCCTGTTTTGCCTACCTCTGACTCAATACAAAAGATAGAATAGCGAGACCTGTCTATAAATTAATGTTATGTACAACAGAAACTCCAATAATGTTTGCACTGACTTTAAAAGTATATCACACATGGAATAATAGCTCACCTTATGTACTGTGTTATCTATATGTATGGTAAAATCCGTTGGTTGACACCAAAAGGCCAAACAATATCATCAAATGAGATACTTGAATCTGCTTTCTCAACCAGATCCGGGAAACAATATTCTCAAACCATTTAGATTAGAAAATACAAAGCATCCAAATAATTAAAAATTATCAAAACAATCTTACTTCACATGCACCATACAGCATCAATACGGGTGATGTTTTCTGTTGCTGTGAGGAATGAAATAGAACGACATATTAACAATTTTAGTTTCTCTTTTCAAAAAGTGTCACCTTAATAGGGGGATCTCAGAATAGGAATAAACTAAATATGGAATTTACTATACTAGCATCATATATATCAACAGATTGTTAAAAAGTAGTCTTTTCACAATATTAACGTATTTATGTTCACCGACTAATCAGATTAAACTACAATCACATTTACCCTTTTAAAACCAATAAAGTACATAAGCACATATTCGATAAACATAATGAATACATAATTTATCAATATCATTATTATTATATAGACCTACTATTTTAAGGATCAAGAATTTAATTGTTTTAATTTAAAGTTTATAACTCGAAAAAGTTTATAGTATTTGTTGTGATACGATAAAAAAAAATAGTGCCACTTTAATATGCGGTTAAAAATTGATTGAAATGATCATTTGGCACACTGAATACAATACAATAATTATGGTGCATAAAAAACAGAAACGAAAGGATATTAAATTTAATAGAATGCAAATAGTAGGCCTACAGCAGTTTATCAGTCCGATTAATATGGACATCGTCTAAGTGGCGTATACGCCACTGGGAGGATATCTACATTACGTAGACGGATACATTGTTGAAGACCCCTCCTGCAAAAAATCTCCCAAATCGCCCTTCCCCAGTTAACCCACACCCACACTGAAAATATCAGAAGGAACAAAAAAAATCACCATCAAGCAGTTACAAATCACCTTACTTTGTGACTCAGTGCCTCGTCACTTAATCGCCGAGCCCCCTTCCCCCAATTTCACGTTCATGCCCCATCATTTCACGCACCGCCCCCCGTTTCGAGACTCCTGGATACGTCATTGCATCCTCTTAAATTTGTTGGCCGTATGGTTCAAATATACAAAGAATTTCACCTCGTTTAACGGAGAAGTGTCCTCTTAAAGTCAGGGTTCTGTTGTACTCTACTGGCCTAACAACACAAACCGTTAAAAGCATTGAAAAATATCCAAGAAGTACCCCAGCATGTTTATTGCCGATCAGGTTGTTACTATTATTTAAGGGGATGCATATGATATAATAATAAATATATATAAACCTGGTGGTATATTTTAAAAAACGATTCCGACGTCAACTATATATTTTAATCAAATTACATATTAAATATGTTTTTTCAATAATGTTCGTCTTCGTTATTACTCTTTTTGGCCAAACAGATCGCTACTTTTTATCTTGCTAAACAAACCACAGCACAGTAGAAACATTTCCAAAGTGATCCCTCAATTATTAAGAAAAGTAACCCCATCTAAAATTGGAATATTCCAGAACCCATCGCATGTAGCCATTATGCCAAGGGATGGTCTTGTTTTGAAATTACAATTGATTCAACGAGAGGAAACATTTGAAGTCGTCTAAAGTATTACATCCAACCTCCGAATTAACTCTAGCCATAACGACCAAGCGAATTGTAAATTATTCTGTACGCATTCTGCTACAATTTTACTACAGAAATTGAGGATTACATTGAAAAAAATAATGGATTTCAGATACCATACCTTAGGCCTATTCCAGCGTATGTAGCTCTCGATCGCTATAATGACGTCTGGGATCTAGGATTTTAGAACCTACGAAAAGTCAAACCAGACCTAATGCCCCCCAACTAATTTTAGTAAGACTACAAGATAATAATAATACCTTTATTGGAAAGCTCCATATTGAAAATACTAGACCAAAATCTGCCGAAATCATCACAATTCCGACATAGTGGTAGCGAGTAAGCTCATAATCATTGTACGTGTTCAGGTTATTCCCATTTACGTTATAAATAGCTTTCTTTGAATAATCGATCCACACAATAGCGCTCACATTATACTAAAGAGACAGAGTATACATTTTAACGCTGTTCCGCTGAATATGTCTTGTGACTTTCGCGTCTTGGTCGCTCAGCTTATTTCATTTGTAATTTCCATTTCTTTTATATTTGATGAATATTTTTCTGATTTTTTGTTGGTCTGTTATAGTTTTAAATTGTGTCGGTAGTGTGGTACTTGAATCTGAAGATAGTGGTGTTTGAGGTCCCTTTTTTAATGTGATTTGTAGCATACAGTGGTCTGCCTCTGTCTCTATGAGTCTATACGGTATACAGAGATCAGATAAAAAACGAATCGGTGCTAATGAACTTAATTGCAGTTGCAAGGGGCGCCCCCCCCCCTAGTCGCCCCTTCAAAAAAATCACGGTCAAGTAGTTAAAAATCACCTTATGTTGCACTCTAGCCCCCGCCCTTCTTCACCTTACTGTAACTTCCACCATCAGCATCCCCATTTCACGACTTACACCACTGTTTAATAAAAAAAATCGTATGTTTTACAGAATGAGTTTCAAACTACGTGATTATTGGGTCTGATGAAAGCTGAGCGAGTTGCCAGTAGAAAGCTTCTCCGAAATGTAAGCTAATTGTTACTGTTTGAAATAAAATATTATGTACAGCTAAAGGTCCAAAAATGATGTAATTAAATGTTGAGGTTAAAGGGTCAGTTTTCATGGTCAAAGTCACAAGAAATGGAAAAATCACATTATAATTAAAATTTGTTTTTATAATATGCATTTTATTGAGTGACATATAATAATTAATTAATTATTAGTAACAGATAATACTGAGAATGATTTCTATATTATTTTATTTACTTTTTTTTTTACTATTTTGTCGGTTGCAATACAGGCTTTGTTAATTTTTGTTATATAAATACATCTATTATAATCATTTTTAATCAATGTGGTGAAATTTGATTTTGAATAATGTATTATCTAGTAATCTTACCATAGATAGGGATCTTAGGTTTCATAGTGTATGGGGTTCTTTAGGTTCGGTTTTTCTTTAGACTGATATTTAAGCTCTTTGCTTTCAGCATTTAATAAAACCAGAAAGTCAGCACGAGAGAAACCGTACAATGTGCGAGTTTACTGAGCTTTGGCTCTTCAGAATAGACAGTCGCAGAACCGACAATGCGGATGAAATCGTGCGGGTTCTTCTTAATCTTGATCTGCCGTAAAACTTCGAATTGAAGCCCAGTGGGCTTAATCTCGAGATGACGCCCATCTCGAATTAAAGCCCTTCTTTAGTCTCGAAAAGATGCACATCTTGACAAGGAGCACATAGGCTTCTTTTTAAGATAGATACGCTTCTTTTCGAGATAGTAGGACTACAGAATATACACTGTACATGAATTTTAAAAAATTAATTAATTAAAAGCCAGCTCAGTTGATACAGTAGTTTAGGTGATTTAATGTCAGTTAAATACATTCCATGATACAGATTGATGTTACAGTGGCCGTATTTATTGTTTCATAGTACAAATTCGCAAAATTTACAGTACTCATTTTGAAAAGAATCTCCCGAGACAGCCTTTACTTTGCAAAAATAGCCTCGAAATGAAGCCCATCTCGAAATGAAGCCCATCTCGAAAAGAAGCCCATCTAAAGTTAAAAAAAATAAAAGAAGAAGCCTAGGGCTACAATTCGAGGTTTTACGGTATGCTCCTCAACGCTTCTGTCTAGTTCTGAAAGTTGTTCTTTTTGATGGCTTTGAGTTCTTTTAATCCAATCCAAAATTCAACTTGTAAGAATGAACTAACAATGAACCAATGGAGTACTCAATTTGAAACATCGATATACTCTCGACACATCAGTTTTTCTCAGAACTGTTTACATGGTGTACCGCAAATTTATACGGTACTATTTTTAATCACCATGCAAACCTTGAAACAATATTTTCATACAAATTAGTTATAGAAATGAAATAATATGGGTCCTGGAATAGCTCGTTGACTGATTTAGCTTATGCCAACAGCCACTGCACACCACTTTTCAGTTGTGAATGAGATTGACGTCACAAAATCAATTCTATGCCTGCCAAGCACTGTCAATTAAACCTTTCCTCACCCGTTTGCCCAAAACCATTGTTCCCATCTTTAGGAATTTAATTATCTCCTCATTGTCATCAGGAATTTTCCAAATTGTCTTAAGACAGTTATTGTAAGATCCATTCTAAAGAAACCCTCAGTTGATCCGAATAATCTGTCTAATTTTCGTCCTGTCACAAACATTGCTCTACTGTATATCGAAGCTCTTTGAGAAGTGTGTGGTTAAAGATCTAATTTTGATGTATGTTGTTACTCAGTGGTGTACTATAATGTAATTCGGAGCCTGTTTGTGTATTATTCAAAGAGTATGAAAAGGAAAGAGAGCACAGTCCCGTTCCAAAAGACGTCATTCCCCTAGTTACAATTTAGACTAAGTCGCCATCGCTGCCATGGAAGTACGCCCGCTGTCGTCTGATTGTTTGATAGATAATAGAATAATAATAAGAATTATTATCTGTATACGTTTCTTAAAATAATACAACTGATAGTTCTATATTCTGGTGAAATCTACTTTCAATGCGCTATGGCATGGAAATCTAAACAAAACAGTATTCGTACTCTTGTGCAGGTTCGTGTTATACATCATTGATATAGCATAGGGTCCCTGCTCGTCGTCTCATTATTTATACCTCTCGATGAAAAGAAATGTAGATGCAGTGTGTAAAGGTAGAGTGTAATTATCAATTACTCGGACAATGTGTGGACCCAAAAGTTTCGATTTACTCTCCGATGCTTTACCACTTGAATTATCGTAAAAAATATCGTTATCAATGCTAAGATCTACTGACAAAGTATACATACAAATGTATTTTTCAATAATTCTTTTTTTTCCCTTTTTCAAACAGTAAAAATGAAAAAAATTGCAACTATTTAAGCAATGACACCTCTGTCACTTTAATTGTCTAAATTAATGATGATAATAATAATAATGATGATTATAATGTTTATTTGCACCATAACTCCAAATCTACTGTAAAATTAAAAATTTACAACTACGACTTTAAACGAAACTAACCTTCACCCAGGGTAACAATGGAAAGCGTTTTGAAAAATAGAATATGTTAATCTGTTAAACCTCGATGCTTTACCACCTAAATTTAAAAAATAGCGTTATCAATGCTAAGATCTATTGACAACGTTTACATGCAAATGTATTTTTCAATATTTATTCTTTTTTTTTTTTTAGAGCAAAAATTAAAAAGAATTATGCAACTATTTAAGCAATGACACCTCTGTCACTTTAATTGTCTAAATTAATGATAATAATGATAATGATGAATATAATGTATATTTGCACTGTTACTCAAAATCGACTGTAAAATTAGAAATTTACAACTACGACCTTAAACGAAACTAACCTTCACCCAGGGTAACAATGGAAAGCGTTTTAAAAAATAGAATATGTTAATCTGTTAAACCTAGACAAATATTCATTGTGTTTAAAACGATGATATTTTGACCTTAGTTTATTGGTGTCCACGGTCCCCAGACACAATCGTTGCCGTTAATACAAGGGTCGGCATTAAGCACCTGGGTAGGGGGATAAATTACAGGCACTGAGTCAAGATAGTATTTTTGAAGTTTCTTTAACATCCACGCGAGGATATCAGGGCGCTCACAAGACAAGTCATTCTGTTCTAGTGGATCGCCCGTAACATTGAATAACCAGGTCACTTGATCAGTTGTTGGTCCGGGGATCGTTTCGTATCCAGTATCAGGGGGTGCAATCCATCCAGTCTCCCCTGAAATAAGGTTTCAAAACTATTAACTATCAATCATGTATCTAGTTAACTGTATACTTTTCTCAACATTGAAGTGTGTCCTGATGTCAAAAAAGCAGGTAAAGCATTTTAAAATGCAGAAAAGACTGTCCTCTGCAGGTCAAAATGGTGCAGCAAGCATATTTTTTAACGTAGGATAGTTTGGTAAAATTTCATGAAATATTCATAATCATCCTTATAGAACATATTTTGCGCATGCGCTATGTTCAAGTCTGTGTCAGCCTCATTGATCAATTGTTCATGTGCATCGCGAGGGACCTAGTATTCAATTTTAAAATAAAAAAATAAAATTAGATTTTGGGCGAACTGAGCGGATACAATTGATTAGCGGCTCTTTTAATAATTTTAGATATTATAGTCAAGATTATATGGTTATATAGGCCTAATTCAACAAAGGGTCCCTGGCACAATGGTCTTTGATATGAGTACTTTACATTATTTGCAGACATATGCAAGTATTATAATCACGTAACATTAGAGCCTTCATTCAGTCTGTTACCGGTATATCAATATCCAGTCTGTTATACTTCATCGTAAACTTACCAAAAAAGTTGATTTTTATTTATATTTTTATGCAACTTATTTATTTTATTTTGTATGTATTTTCTTTTGTTAAGACATGAAAAACAAACAACATAGCTTTGGAGGTGGAGCATGTCTTCTTGATAAAGACTATTTCCGTAGGCCCCGTGTGTACACATTGGCTCATGTACAATATAAAGAACCCAGTACATCTTTCGAGACGACTAGGGTTTACCCCTGTGTACTGGCCCATATTACAGCCCCTGCCCTCATTCTGATCTTTACTATAATAGCTATAATAGTAGAGATCAGTGCCCTCATCCAGTACGAAAACACACCGACAGGTGGTCTGTACCAGAATGGAAGAAGAATAAGAAGGCCTATACATTTACAGGTGTACGGTAAGAATGGCCCCAGGAAAAAATGGCCCCGGAAAAAATGGCCCCGGTAAAAATGGCCCTGGTAAAAATGGCCCCAAATGACAGGTAGGTAAAAATGGCCCCAATAATAAAATTCTATATTAAAACTGATTTTTAAAATCATTATATGCATTTTTTTTAACTGAAATAATTTAGTTTTTTAAAAGG